AATAGCTAAAAGCTAAAATAAGAAAAATGATAACCGAAAGCTAAAATAAGGATAGCTAAAAGCTAACATAAGAAGAATGATAGCTAAAAGCTAAATTAAGAAGAATGTTAGCTAAAAGCTAAAATAAGAAGAACGATAGCTAAAAGCTAAATTAAGAAGAACGATAGCTAAAAGCTAAATTAAGAAGAACGATAGCTGAAAGCTAAATTAAGAAGAACGATAGCTAAAAGCTAACATAATCATAAGAAGACAGTTTGTTTTTGAAGCCTGACTGATTAAAAGTAGTAAAGTTACAAAGACATGAAATAATCTTATTTATGTGTGGCTGTCGGGCTGAGCATCCTGATTAGTGATTGAGATAAAAAAAGTGCTCTATGGTGATCAGCTGAGTCTCTTACTGATTAAAGATGGTGGAAATGAGCGTGACAACAGCCAATCAGAATCCACCTGCTCCTGCTGCACTCCTGTTTATAAGTTGATGAAACAGGGACTGGATCACAGGACTGAATGAACTGAACCCTGATGTGAGCAGCTAAAATAACAACATGTCTGCAGGAGTAGTTGGGCTGAAAACGGTTCTAAAACAGAAACATGAAACCTGAGGGGACGCTGATTTGCTGAGTCAGCGTTCAGACAGTGTGATGATGACATGCAGCACATCAGCACAAACATCTGTCAGGAGCTCACCTGCAGGGAGGAGGAGCTCTGCAGCTCCCTGCCAGCAAACAGGACTCGGAGCTCCTCGGGACAGACCCCCTGCTGACTCCCCACCACCTCCTTCAGCTCAGCCACGCTGGAGGAGTCGTGCAGCTCCACAGGCACACCTGGGCCCAGGTTGTAGCGCACAAACACTGCAGCACAGGTGAAGCTGGGTCACGTTTCTGCACAAACTGTGGTTTTCAGGTGCGTTCAGGTGTTTTCAGGCTGCTGACCTTCTTCAGTCTGATGTGCAGGTCTTACAAATGTCTCATACCCAGGTGACAGAGTATTTTACTAAGTATACTTTACTGTACTTCAAGACACACTAATCAGCAGTGTACTTAAAGAGTGATGTTTATGAACAACTAATTTAATACTAAATATACTTTAGTTGTATTTAAGATGTACAAAAACACAATTTTAAGTGTATTAAGTTTACTTTTAAATACTAAAATGGAACAACTTCAAATGTACTTAGTAGAGTTTAAGTGTACTTTAAGTGTTAAAGTGGGGTCTTTGGGTGAAAACTGTGAGGTGGTCCACATCCTCACATCACAGACATGTTTACTGTGGGACCCTCTGCTGGGGGGGCTGCTGGTCCACACAACATGTAGGTCCAAAACCAGTGGGTACTGCAGTATATTATACATGTACTGAGTCTTTACAGTACTGTGAGTACTGCAGTATATTATACATGTACTGAGTCTTTACAGTACTGTGAGTACTGCAGTATATTATACATTTAGTCCTGTGAGTACTGCAGTATATTGTATATTTACTGAGTCCTTACAGTACTGTGAGTACTGCAGTACATTATACATTTAGTCCTGTGAGTACTGCAGTATATTATACATTTAGTCCTGTGAGTACTGCAGTATATTATACATTTAGTCCTGTGAGTACTGCAGTATATTATACATGTACTGAGTCCTTACAGTCCTGTGAGTACT